TTTCTGGATGTCAACGCACTTTGTGCTGGCTCCATTGCTGCGATCACCACGGGTGCAGCGGCCATTGCGCCCTACGGCGCAGCAGTGCACGCGGCCTGCGCCAACAACCATTTCTTGAAAACACCCAAGAGTCAAGAACAGCTTTCTGCATTGTGGAATTCCCCGGGCTATGATCCTGTGTCAGGCCTGAAACACCCTCGACGCTTGACGGAGGAGGAAGAGATGGCTGCTAAGCAACCCTTGAAGGAAAGCTTGGCTCAGATCGCAGCGAACCGTGACACTTTGGAGGAGCTGAAGAAGGTGACGGATGTTCCCAAGCCGGGCAACACAGAGGCAGACATGGAGACTCTCTTGAGCCTCATGGGCGGCGAGGACAAGCCGCGTGCCGCCTGGCCATTTGAATGCTAGGTCACGTTGAGAGCCGTGAGGACAGCTTTTCGACGTGTCGCCTATTCTCAGTAAGTGGTCAGATCGTGTCAGAAGATGAAATGCAGCTGACACATCACGGAATCGTAATCATTTTGATTATATTTGAATATATAATTAATAATAGACATATTTGATCCATTTTGATTTTCTTTCTATCAGCTTAAACGCTGTTGGTGCTAGGTCAACATGACCTAGCTACCTGAAATTACCTGGATCATGGATGATTTGGGTAGGCTGTTTTTGGGTTGGTGTGGAATCTCTGCATCAGTAAATCCCTTCCTGTGCTTCTGCTGACCTGACGACAGTCCATGTCGAATGGTACTGGCAAAACCCTGTTGACTGTGGCTTTTGCAGCTTCAAAAAGAGTTGCGAGATCCAGCAGAATGCAGAAAGTGACATCCACATTCCTGTCCATAGTGAAATAGTGAATGAGCGTATACATTCGCATACCAATTGCAGCAAGTCTTGTTGTTGGATGTTGTTGGCACAAGGAACGGCGTAACAGGATTGAATCAATTCAATTCCGCGTGTATTAACAGCACCCGATACTTTGGCAACGGCCAGTGAATTTCCATGCGAAAAAAATTGACTTCAACAAGCCATTTGTGCTCTCAAATCTCTCCCGACCTCCCTTGCTGTGAAGCACCCTTCTCCCATCTTCTAACTTTCAGTATGTCTGGCTTCAAGCCGGTGGAGAACCTGGAGGATGGCAGCGAACTTGAGGCTGACGTTTCCTTCCGAATGAAACGGTCCACGTTGAAGAAGACTGCTGTAGCAGTGGCAACTGCTATGGTCGTTTGTGTGGGCATTTTTGCCTTGTCAACGAATGGCTTCAGCCACAACTGCAACAATGTTGGAGCTTTGCAAGGCAAGTCTGCTTTGGATCTTGACTCTGCCATCCGCACCACTAGTGAAAAACTGATTCAGGCAGCCAAGAACAATCAAACTCTGGCTGATGAGACTGTGATGAAGGCCATGGTGAAGGCAGGTCACAAGGTTCAGGACCACTGGGAGAAGCACCACATCCGCAAGTTGGATACTCTTGTGACGATCCGAAAGGTGAAAGGATTCCGCCAAGGACAAAAGGCCGCGCTTGCTGGACGTGCGGAATGCTCCTTCAACATTTTGGAGGCATTTGTCTCAGCAGTGGGTATGGGTGATGACATCAATGCCATCATTCGAACTTGCCCTGCACCTCGTGATGGTGAGTCTGAGTTGGCTTGCCAGGTGAACGGTGGCATCCTGGGTGCTTGGGTGGGCAACCTTGCTACAAAGCTGGCCTTAGCAGCTTCCAATTGTGCGCTGAGCATCAACGTGGATGCCATTTGCTCTGCTGGTGTCACAGGCTTGGTGTCAGCCATGGGAGAGATTGCAGCTGGAGCTTCTTTGGGTGCGGCCGTATGTACCGGAACTCCGCCACAACTGACCACCACCAAGATCAGTGTCCTGGGAGATCAGACTGTCCGGGACAGTCGACGTTTGCTGATTGGAGAAGGCGCTGTCGGCAACGGTGTGCAGTGTGGTGTGGATGTGGGCATGGTGGCAGCCAACATTGCAAACATGGGTCTTGCCATCAACAAGGCCGTGAATGTGAACAAGTGCAAAGCGAGCACCTTTCGCTCACCATTGAACGTGTTCAAGGGCATCCCAGAGACACTTTGCACCATTGACATTGGTGGTGCTGTGGCGTACATCGGTGAGGTTGTTACCTTCATCAATCTCATTGTGGTTCACTGTAAGGACTGAATGGGACTGAGCACGGCCTTTTTTCGCTGCCAAAGTTTCTTCTCGTTTATCGTTGCCTCTCTGAAGTTTTTGTTTAATCCTGGAGCATCCTGGAACACTCTTCATCAGGCACTGTTGAGCTTGTTCTGTCTAGAGATGCTGACATGGAAACCCTATATTCCAAGCACAAACACTGAGTTATTGTAATTATTGAATAAAATGATAAATGATAACAGACACTGTTGGTGATGTTGGCTCTGTTCTGTCTTTCTTTGCCTTCAACTGCCTCAAGATCTTGAGACGGGCTGCAGCAACGTATTTTCGGCCAGGACTTTCTGGATGTCAACGCACTTTGTGCTGGCTCCATAGCTGCGATCACCACGGGTGCAGCGGCCATTGTGCCCTATGGCGCAGCAGTGCACGCGGCCTGCGCGAACAACCATTTCTTGAAGACACCCAAGAGTCAAGCACAGCTTTCGAAATTGTGGTATTCCCCAGGCTATGATCCTGTGTCAGGCTTGCGTCGACGCTTGACGGAGGAGGAGACGGCTGCTAAGCAACCCTTGAAGGAAAGCTTGTCTCAGATCGCGGCGAACCGTGAGACTTTGGAGGAGCTGAAGAAGGCGACGGATGTTCCCAAGCCGGGCAACACAGAGGCAGACATGGAGACTCTCTTGAACCTCATGGGCGGAGAGGACAAGGCGCGTGCCGCCTGGCCATTTGAATGCTAGGTCATGTTGAGAGCCGTGAGGACGGCTTTTCCACGTGTGGCCTATTCTAATCAGGTGGTCAGATAGTGTCAGATGAAATCCAACTGACGCATCGCGAATCACAATTAATTTGAGCATACTTGGATGTATAGGATATATTTACTTGATTCATTTTGACTTAGTTTCTATCAGCTCAACAGCTGATAACAGCTGTTGGTGCTAGGTCGACATGACCTAGCTACCTGGATCATGAATGATTTGGGTAGGCTGTGTAATTACTGGGGTTGCTTCAGCTGACCTGACGACAATCCATGTCGAATAGTACAGGCAATACCCTGCAGATTGTGGCCTTTGCAGCTCCAAAAAGAGCTGTGACATCCACATTCCTGTCCATAGTGAACGGGGGAAAAACATTCGCATACACATTGCAGCATGCTTTGTTGTGGGAGTTGTTGTTTGTGCTGTTGGCACATGAACAGTCTCGGATTGAATCAATCCACCCATTCTTCACCAAGCCTAAATTAAATGGCTGTCAAACTATCAGCAATGTTTTTTTTGCCCACCAACACGGTAGTTTAGCCAATTGGTATTTGATTGAACATGCAGTTCAGACAAGTTTGAGGCGGTTGTTTTGTCTTTTTCGTGACAGCATGACAATCGCAGGTGATGATGTGCATCAAACCCAAAGTTGTTTTTTCTTATGGATTTGTGGCAGAATTGAGTTGCAGTGACTGAACAAAGTGATTGTCTTCTCATCACTGGATTTTTGAGTTCAATTGTTGTGAAAGCATTCACTTGGCACTCATGTGGACATTTCACCCTATTTCCATTGGCTTTTGGGCCCAATTCCCAATCGCCGCTGTGAACAGCGCTTTAGCCATACGCTACGCCCCCGAGAGCGAAAACTAGCAGACTTCGTTGCACTAGCACTGCCTCGTTGATTTGCGGTTTCAGTTCAACAGTGGCACCGGAGCTTGATTCTTGCAGGGCCTTTGGATTTTGCTGCTTGTGCCTGAGCCTGACTTTTTAGCGCTTCCTTGGTTTCAACGAAGGTGGATTTTCCTTGTTATCCTTTCCACTTACTTTTGACTCCAAGACCACAAAGTAACCCAACTGGTTTGTTTTGGAACTTGCAACGTTCTGGATTTGCTGGCGCTGGGTGAAAGAGCACTTTTCACTTTGGGTCGAACATCGGCCTTTGCATGCGATTGAGTTTGGCGGTTGGACCCCATCTCCTTTAAGGACTGAGGTATGGCTGACAGTGGACACACTGGTGGTGATAATCTGGGGCATGGTATCAAGTGCCAACATTGGATGGATCTCCCTTGACTTGGCGTGAGTTCAAGCGAGAGATGCGGTGGTGGACTCAGTCTTTAGACCTTTCTGCCACCACCAAATACAATTTAGCTGCTCGATGGCTTTTGAGACAGTCAGGAATAGTACGTCAGCGTGGAGAAGAATTTGATCCCGATGATTTGCTTTATAAACCTGCTGTCATGATCCCTGAGCCTGACAATCCTGGAGAAGAGCTGGAGTTGGAACCTCCCAACTATCTGGCTGGAATTGAGAAGCTTCTGCAGGCCTTGGAGAAGATCAATGGTCAGACGACCTTGGACAAGCGTGGGGAGCTTCGACAACAATTCTACCAAGATTTGCGTAGGAAACCTGGTGAAAGACTTTCTGAGTTCTGTACACGTTTTAGGACGTTGGTGGCTGACCTTCGCAGTGAAGGAGTTAACCTTCCCAATGAAGAGCTTGGCTGGTTCTTACGCGATAAGTTGGGGCTGGACCCTCTTCGCAAGCAGATGCTCGATACAGCATTGTCTGGAAGGGAAACATATGAGGTCATCGAGGCCGAGGTGTTGCGTTTGTTCAAGGATATCCATTTAGCAGATCCTCTTTTCAGGCGTGCTGAGACTGGCAACAGACCTAAGCTGACAATTCGTAGGATGTTTCAGCATGGAAGTTCTTTTGCACCCTCAACTGCTGCTCCTAGTCGAGCCTCTACAAGCTCGACTGCCTCAGGTTTGAGGAGACCTGCCTTGTCAAGTAGCAGCGGCAGCACTCGCCGCGCCTATGTGACTGAGGTTGAGCCTGAGCTTGAACAACCTGAAGACGAAGTCATGGAAGCAGTTGCTGGTGTGGAAGATGAGCCGGATCATGAGTCACAGCCTTTGGAGGAATATTTGCAATCTGAAGCGGAAGTTTTTGCCGCTGAACTTGCTTCTGCGGAAGAGCAAGGAGTTGATCCTCAGGCCATTGAGGAGTTGGAAGCCAACTTTGAGCAAGCTGCCGAGGTGTTAGTTTCTATGAAAGAAGCCCGCAATCGTTTGAACGAAGTGCGGAAGGACAGACAGTTTGGAAAGCCTGCGCCTGGATCAACGAAGGGCAACCCGAACGTGCCTGCGGCCAAGAAGAGCTCTGGCCGCCATCCTTGTTTTGATTGCGGCAATCATGGCCATTGGGCTGGTGATCGTGAATGTCCAAAGCCTGGAGCCGGACTCGGCAAGAAGACTGCGGTGGCAAAAGGGAAACCGCAGCGCCAAGTTCGAATTGCTGAAGCTTTGCATGCAGATTGTGTACCTGATGTAATTTCACCTGGTGATCACTCAAGTAGCTTTTCAACTGGCAAATCTCCTCCAGCTGCACATGAACATGAAGCTGCAGTTGTATCTCATGATGATATTCCTTTGGACAAAGCTTTGTTTTTGAGCGGTTGTTCACGGGAGCACTCTACCCTTGCATCTTCTACGTCTGCTCAGGCGTTGTCGGATGACAAGCAGCTGGTGGGGGCTCTTGATTCAGCCTGCAACCGTACCTGTGCAGGTCCAAGCTGGTTGGATGGTTATGTGCGGAAACTTCAGCAAGTCGCTCCTCTTTGGGTTCTCGAACTGGTTGATTCAAGTGATGAGCAAGAGAATTTTCGTTTTGGCAATGGTGGTTTGGTAACTTCTAGCAAAAGATGGCGTTTACCAACTTTGATCTGTGGTAGGATTGTCCTCATTTGGGTGAGCATTGTACCAGTTCTTAGTCTTGGATGTTTACTCGGACGTGACTTCCTGGATGCAGTCGGAGGAATCCTGAATTTTGCCTCCACGACTTTGCAATGCAGTTTCTTGTCCACTGCCTCGCAAAGGTTGAACCAGATGAGCGCTGGGCATTTCATTTTTCCTCTCATCGGCGAAGATTGGCCGAGGCAACGAGCTGGAAGATGGAGAACATGTGGATTAGATGGCATTGTTGAGTTGCAGATTGATCCTCAGAGTTGGTTGAATCGTCGTCTTTCAGAAAAAAATCACAGCCATTGCAGGAGAGAGTCATGATCAATTGGTCACAGAGGGTTTGGTCGAAAGAGGGCGTACGCATGAGATTCTTCTTTTGGATCATTTGCCTGCGGCTCAAGCTATGACTGCAGCGACAGCTACAGCACCTTTTCCCCAACTTCCTCTACGACATCTTGCTGACCGCGATGGAGCCTCTGGAGAATGCCATCCTGACTCTGGGGCCAGCTGCTCAGAGGCAGCTCATGTCCGAATGCCGACTGGCGTTCGCAATTTACCGCTGGCGCCGATTCATCTTGCGACTTCAAGATCGCGCCCAGTGGCATGTTCACGGATTGCTGCTTTGGTTGGTCTCGCGATCCTATTTGAGGTTCTTGCCCTATCCATACCCTTCAATCACTTCTGTGGAGGCTTGGAAGGATCAGGCCAAGAACATGGTGAGCCAATTGACACTGAGCGCTCATGCCTTCAACATGGCCGCTCAGACTGGGAGGTTCACTGCTCAGAACCTTTCGGAGCTGTGCCGCTTCAGGGATCGTGTGGGCTGGCGACATGCCTTCCTGGAGGACTCACTACTGACTGGCTTTCTGGTGGCTCGTGGAATGAAGGGTCATGCCAGGAAGATCCGAGATGCTGCATTGGAAGAAGCTCGCCAGGAAGTTGCTCAACGCGCCAATGTGAAGGAGCGGGACGAGTTTGTCCGACAGATGCTGGGCCCGAGGTGGATTGCCCTGCCTGAGAGCCGACTTGGTCAAGCTGGCACTGTTGCTCAACTTGGGAGTGTCAGCCTCCGACACGGTTCCCGTGCTGAAGGCCAAGATTCAACCTATGGTGGCAACCTTGAAGGGTCAGAAGCCTATGAACCCCGAGCCTTACCAGCCGCCTTCCAGAGCAAAAGCCAAGGCAGCCCCATCGGTGAGCCGAGAGTCCACGAGCTCTGCATGGTCAACTGTGACCGAACCTGGACCTCAACTTCACATGCAGCAAGTGGGCGATCTGCTGGAAGCAAGAGTTCAGCAGGCCATGACGGTCCAGGACCAGAAAGTGGAGAACATGATGGCCCAGGTGATGATGCACATCGAAGATCGCTTCAAGTACGTGCCTCAACAGGGCATGGCCGAAGTGTTGAACGGCACGATTCCGGAAGTGCCGATGGATCCATGAAACTTGATGGCAAGAAGATCAAGCCTGGTCAACGCCAAATGATCACCCAGGCATGGGAGAAGCACAGAAAAGATCAGATCGCTGTGTCTGCAGATAGGTTTGAGATCAATGAGGTTTGGCATGCAGAATGGGATGCGGAGATGAAGCGAAGCATGAATGAGACCTTCGTGACCACTCTCCAGTTTCCATCGCCATTTGTCACTGAGGTTTACACAGATACTGAGCTTGTTGCCAAAGCAGCTCGCCAACTTGGACTGCATGCTGGCGACAGTTTGACTTTGAAGAGTGGCTGGGGTTTTCGACGTGAAGATCATCGTCGCGCTGCCCTGCGACTTGTCAAGAAGCTCAAACCTTACTGCACAGTTTTGGCTTTTCCATGCGGACCATGGTCTCCATTGATGCAGCTCAATCCAGCAGCTGACCTTGAACGTCTTCGCAGTGAAGGCGAAATCCTGATCAACTTTGCCATAGAGATTGCGGAAGAGCAGATGAAGCATGGCAAACATTTTGTGTGATGGAAAATCCACGTCCATCAGCGGCATGGCGCCTCCCTCAGCTTGAGGTATTTGCGCACAGAGACGGCGTTTTGCCGGTGGACATTGACATGTGCCATTTTGGCCTCAAAGGACCTGGAGGTGGTTTTCACAAGAAATCAACTCGTTTGTTGACATCCTCTCAGGCCATGGTTTCACGTTTGATTGCCTGCCGATGCACAGGACATCATTTGCATGAACATGTGATTGGTGGCTCGCGAATCTCGCAAGCTGCAGGTCACTACACTGATGAGTTCTCAAAGACCATCATTCTTTCCTTGATGGACCAGTTTGACTTTGAGACAGCTCAAATGTATGACATGGTTGCGAAGTATGACCAGATGTCAAAGAATATCGATTTTGCAAAGAATGTCCAGACCTCTGTCGATGCGAACACGGCTGAGGTGAACATCACAGAACATGAAGTGCTGGCTTTGGAGGAGGAATCAGATTCTTCACTTGAAATGTCAAAGGAGGAGGACAGTGTGCCAATTCCTGCGGAAATCAAGAATGCCGTTTTCAGACTTCATGTGAACAGTGGACATAGATCGAGTCAGAGATTGGCCAGAGCACTTTTGGTTTCTGGCGCCCCGCCTGCTGCCGTGATAGCAGCCAAGCAGTTGCGTTGCTCAGTTTGTCAGGAGCGAAAACGCCCAAAGGCAAGGCCGCCAAGTTCCTTGCCGCCACCTCGAGATGTTGGTCAACAGATTCACATTGACTTGGTTATCCTGGAGGACTCTATGCGAAAGCCTTATGTGGTAGCCCATGTGACTGACAATGTCTCCAGGTATCAACAAGCCAAAGTTCTCCCTGACAAATCAACTGCGTCGGTGATTCACTTTTTGAAGACTCACTGGCAACCACTGCTTGGATGGCCTCACACAATTGTTGCAGACCAAGGTCGTGAGTTTGTTTCAGCCGAGTTTGGCGACTTCTGCGACAGCCAGAGCATCTACTTGTACCACATTGGCGTGGGTGCACCCTGGCAGAATGGCATCTGTGAACGAAGTGGGGCTACTTTGAAGGCCCTGGTTGGCGCTATCACCCAGACCATGGCAGTTAGCACCTTCAAAGAGATGGAAGAGGCCGTGGGTGAAGCAGTCATGGCCTACAACAGTGACTTGAATGAGCACGGAACTGCACCGATTCAGCTGGTGACAGGTAGAATTCCTACCCCTGGTGGAGATGTGTTGAACAACTTTGCCAAGCGATTGGCTGAGCATTCTCTCATTTCCTCAAAGCCTTCTTTGGAAAGACAGCTGGCCATACGTGAGACAGCTCGAGTTGCTATGCTGAGATTGCACTACAGCAGGAGTTTGCGAAGAGCTGAGCTGGCCAGGTCTAGGTCTTCTACAGCCACAGATGCCCCTCTTCCTGGTGATTTGGTTTTCTTTTGGCGTGCACAGAAATACCAGTCCAAGAAGGAAGGTGGTGGATCTTCCAGGCGCCGACTCATTTTGAAACGTTGGCATGGTCCTGGCTTGTTGGTTGCGAGCGAAGGCAAAGATGGTGAAGGACATGCTGCAAATTGTTTCATCTCGTTTCGAGGACAACTCACCAAGTGTCCCATGGAACATGTGAGGAAAGCTTCTTCACTTGAGAGCATTGCAGCAGGTTCTTGGGAGGCTGCGATTGAGGAGGTGATTCAGGCCGCCATGCAAGACGGTCATGGTCTTGCTGCGGATGCTCCTGAGATGGCCGATGATGAGGCTGATGAAGAGACAGCCGCAGCTCCATTCACACCGGCGACCATTCCGGTGAACGCTGGTTTGATGCCCAGCGAGATTGTAGCTGCCATTCAACCTCCACCTATGCCTATGTCATCACAACCTTCACTTGTTTCTTTTCCTGCGACACCAGTTGGAAGTGCAGCACCTGGAACGCCTGTTCCTGATTTGATCAGAAATGCATCTCAAGCAGTTGGTGCTGCGCCTGCATCTCCTTTGATGGAACGGACGCTTGAGCGAGCACGGGCTTATGACCAGGATCAGCAAGATTTGCGTGGCTTGAAACGCCAAGCAGAAGAAGAGCTCTCGCGCACAGATGAGTTTGCAACGCAGCCCACAGCATCCACTCCGGCTGCAACTTCTTCTCAACCTCAGGCTGCAGATCCTGGAGGCACCAATGTTCATGCACCATTTGAAGCCTTGCTGATGTCAAAGGAACAGTTAGAAAATCTTGCAAAAGAACGTGCAGATGTTCATCCACTTTTGCAACTACAAGCGCAAGCTGACCTTGATAGGTGGGATCCTACCGCCCTCGATGAGGACGATCATGGCACATGGGATGGTCGTTGGTCTTTCATTTGTGAGCGAGACTGGAAGACACTCAAAGATATGGGCAAACAACTTCCTTGCGGGTCCGACCCACATGATGCTTTCAAAGTGCAAGCTGCGCGAAAAGAGTATGTTTGGAGTCAGATAACACCATCCCAAAAGAAGCTTTGGGGTGATGCAGCAGTGGATGGATGGAATGCATACATTGATAATCAAGCAATCCAAGTCTTGTCCATGGAAGAGTCACGCAAAGTTTGGAGTGAACTCAAACGCAAGAACGAGACAGACAGAGTGCTCGTCCCCAGGTTTGTTTGCACTGACAAGCATGATGGGCTGCGCACAGCTAGCCACCCATTGCCAGTGAAAGCAAGCAGTCGCCTTGTGGTGCCAGGGTTCAAAGACAGGGCCAATTTGGAAGGCACTCTACGGCGTGACAGCCCCACTGGTTCCCGGTTGGCTCAACACTTTTTGTTTGCTGTGGCCGCTTTTCAAACGTCATGGGCCTTGATTTCAGCTGACGTGAAAAGTGCTTTCTTGAAAGGTGATCCTTTTGTGGACAGGGAGCTCTACATCACCAACACAAATCCTCGAGTGTCCCCGCCTTTGCCTCTCCAGACCAGTCAGCTGTGTCGTGTGCTGAAAGGCATATTTGGCTTGGCAGATGCACCCAGACAATGGTGGCTGCGACTGTCGCGCTCGATGCAAGAGCATGGTTGGAAAGTGAGCCTTTTGGATGCAGCGATGTGGACCTTTTGGAAGAAGATTGATGGCAAAGACGTTTTGCAGGGCATCGTGGTTGGTCATGTAGATGACTTGCTCTTTTGTGGCTCGCCCTTGGCTGAGCAGTCCTTGATTGAGATTGGAAGGGAGTTAGGTTTTGGAAGTTTGGAACGAGAAGATTTCACATGGTGCGGCAAACGCATTAGACGTGCATCAGATGGAACGATCAGACTTTCAATGCACGAGTATCATGACAATTTGTCTGAAATTGTGCTCCCTCGCCATCGCAAGTCCGAGATGAACTCTCCACTGGACAAGCACGAACATCGACAGTTGCGTGCTGTGCTGGGAAGCTTGCAATGGTTAGTTGCTCAGCTGCGCTTCGACATGAGCTTTGCTGTGTCTACTCTTCAAGGAGAGCATCCACCGAATGTGGAGACAGTCTTGAAAGCGAACGCCTTGGTCAAGGAGTTCCAGCGCACAAGCACATTCGAGCTTATCTTTCGAGCGGTGGATTATCGCACCTCTGGGATATGCATGGTGTCTGATGCTGCGCTGGGGAATGTGAAACTCAATGGCGCGACCAATGGCACTCCTCAGGAGAAGGTTTACCCTCAAGCTTGTTATTTTGCTTTGCTTGCTGATGAAGCGTTGCTGAATGGCAAGGAAGGTGTCTTTAACATACTGGATGCGAGGTCTCACAGAATCCCTCGCGTTTGCAGATCCACCTACAGTGCAGAGACCCTTGCGGCAGAAGAAGCCATGGATGTTGGCCAGCTTTGCCGTGGTTGCCTTGCTCTGCTGAATGACCCAACCATTTCAGCACGTGATGCAGATGTAGCTTCCAATGCCATTAGGATGACAAAGGTTGTTGATGCAAAAGATGTTCATGACAAAAGCAATAGTGACACATCAACATATGGAACTCAGAAAAGCTTGGCGTTTTGCATAGCTTGGATGAGAAGCGTTCTTCGCCGTCCAAATACTGCCCTCCGTTGGACTTCAACGGAAAACATGTGGGTTGATGGAGGCACGAAGCAGATGGACTTGAGTCACATGCGACGTATCATGCAAGCTGGTCGTTGGTCCATCTCATACAGTCCTGAGTTTGTGAAACAGGTGGTAAAAGCCCGCTCAGCTAAGCCTTCTACTGCTGCTTCAACATGCGTTGATGAGCTACTTGGAGTAATGGTGGATGGTAATGACCCTCTGCTGCCGCATTTGCAGGGACTTTGTGAGAAGCGTGGTTGGCACCACATCAACGGAGTTGGCGTGCAGGTTGCCCACAATGCTAAGTCCTTCAGAACGCCAGAACCTAGATTCAGTGTAGAGGAAAAGCCCTTTAGAAGCACGTTTGGTAGGTTCACGTTGTCAGATGGCAGTGTACAGTGGCGTCGGATTGAATTTGGTGCAGCTTATTCTCAACTTGCAAATCAACACGGTATGATAAGCCAAACTGTACCAACTTTAATCACGATGTTTCATAGCACAGACTCCACATTCGTGCCAACAAAAGAAGCAGAATGAATGTGAAAGCATTCACTTGGCACTCATGTGGACATTTCACCCTATTTCCATTGGCTTTTGGGCCCAATTCCCAATCGCCGCTGTGAACAGCGCTTTAGCCATACGCTACGCCCCCGAGAGCGAAAACTAGCAGACTTCGTTGCACTAGCACTGCCTCGTTGATTTGCGGTTTCAGTTCAACAGTTGTCTTATTGGGTAGCGTTGGGTGTGGCAAGTTACTGTAAGACATGTTCTTGGAACTTCTTGCATATCCTCTTGGGATACCCTCTTGATGCTACAAGACCTTCGACCCAAGAGCATGCTCCCCGAAAAAAATTGACTTCAACATGATTCAACAAGCCATTTGTGCTCTAGAATTTCTCTCCCGACCTCCCTTAGCAGCTGCTGTGAAGCACCCTTCTCCCATCTAACGATCAGCATGTCTGGCTTCAAGCAGGTGGAGAACCTGGAGGATGGCAGCGAGCTCGAGGCTGATGTTTCTTTTCAAATGAAACGGTCCACGTGGAAGACGGCTGTAGCACTGGCAACTGCAATGGTCGTTTGTGTTGGCATTTTCGCCTTGTCAACGAATGGCTTCAGCCGCAGCTGCAGCAATGTTGGAGCTTTGCAAGGCAAGTCTTCTTTGGATCTTAATTCCGCCATCCGCAGCACTAGTGAAAAACTGATTCAGGCAACCAAGAACAACCAAACTCTGGCTGATGAGACTGTGCTGAAGGCCATGGTGAAGGCAGGTCGCAAGGTTCAGGACCATTGGGAGAAGCACCACATCCGTAAATTGGACACTCTTATGACCATCAGAAGGGTGAAAGGATTCCGCCAAAGACAAAAGGCCAAACTTGCTGGAATGGCAGAATGCTCCTTCAACATCTTGGAGGCATTTGTCTCAGTGGTGGGTATGGGTGATGACATCAATGCCATCATTCGCACTTGCCCTGCACCTCGTGATGGTGAGTCTGAGTTGGCTTGCCAGGTAAACGGTGCCATCCTGGGTGCTTGGGTGGGCAACCTTGCTGCCAAGCTGGCCTTGGCAGCTTCAGATTGTGCCTTGAGCCTCAACGTGGATGCCTTTTGCTCTGCTGGTGTCGCAGGCTTGGTGTCAGCCATGGGAGAGATTGCAGCTGGAGCTTCTTTGGGTGTGGCGTGTTCCGGAACTCCGCCACAACTGACCACCACCAAGGTCAGTGTCCTGGGAGATCAGACCGTCCGGGACAGCCGACGTTTGCTGATTGGAGAAGGCGCTGTCGGCAATGGTGTGCAGTGTGGTGTGGATGTGGGCATGGTGGCAGCCAACATTGCAAACATGGGTCTTGCCATCAACAAGGCCGTGAATGCGGACAAGTGCAAGGCAAGCACTTTCCGCGTCCCGCTCAAGGGCATCCCAGAAACACTTTGCACCGTTGACATTGGTGGTGCTGTGGCGTACATCGGTGAGGTTGTTACCTTCATCAATCTCATTGTGGTTCACTGTAAGGACTGAATGGGACTGAGCACGGCCTTTTTCCCCTGCATTCCCCTGCCAAAGTTTCTTTTCGTTTATCGTTGCCTCTCTGAAGTTTTTGTTTAATCCTGGAGCATCCTGGAACACTCTTCATCAGGCACTGTTGAGCTTGTTCTGTCTAGAGATGCTGACATGGAAACCCTATATTCCAAGCACAAACACTGAGTTATTGTAATTATATGTAATTATTAAATGATAAATGATAACAGACACTGTTGGTGATGTTGGCTCTGTTCTGTCTTTCTTTGCCTTCAACTGCCTCAAGATCTTGAGACGGGCTGCAGCAACGTATTTTCGGCCAGGACTTTCTGGATGTCAACGCACTTTGTGCTGGCTCCATAGCTGCGATCACCACGGGCGCAGCGGCCATTGTGCCCTATGGCGCAGCAGTGCACGCGGCCTGCGCGAACAACCGTTTCTTGAAGCGCCGTCGACGCTTGACGGAGGAGGAGACGGCTGCTAAGCAACCCTTGAAGGAAAGCTTGTCTCAGATCGCGGCGAACCGTGAGACTTTGGAGGAGCTGAAGAAGGCGACGGATGTTCCCAAGCCGGGCAACACAGAAGCAGACATGGAGACTCTCTTGAACCTCATGGGCGGAGAGGACAAGGCGCGTGCCGCCTGGCCATTTCAATGCTAGGTCACGTTGAGAGCCGTGAGGACGGCTTTTCCACGTGTGGCCTATTCTAATCAGGTGGTCAGATAGTGTCAGATGAAATCCAACTGACGCATCGCGAATCACAATTCATTTGAGCATACTTGGATGTATAGGATATATTTACTTGATTCATTTTGACTTATAGTTGGGGACGCCAAGTAGGCAGATTCTCGTACCCGCAACATAGCTAGCAGATAGGTGTACCAATTGGCCACCGTATGAAAAATAAACCAAATTTTTTGGACTACCAATCTGCTTACCAGGGGGGTGTTTGTTCCACAAACCCCAGTTCATCTGCATTCCGTCAGGCAAAAAAAGCCTGCTTTGAATTAGTTTTGGATTTTTTGCCAAAGCACGGCCCGGCTCCCATCTTTTCCCTTGCATGGGTAATGGCCAGCTGAGCCCACTTATGGTGTTCCACCAGCACGTTCGAAGACTCTGCCATGATGACGTGGAAGGGAAAAAAGACTACAAATGGCTGAAACCCACACACTTTTTTATATACAACAACCCACATAGCACACGCTCTGCCCAAAATGTTGTTTGTTGTTGAATGCGTTTGCCGCTTGTTTCCTGCATTCCTCTCGCCCACCAATCCAAATAGACATTTATATATATATATATAGATGCATAGTTTATTCTGTTCTTCCACCATGTTCTTTGCAGTCTTGGAGTCTTGAGCAAGTGGACATTCGGCGAGGAATGCAGTTAGCAGAATCTCTGAAAACCAGGAATCACAAAAAAATCCGGCAAGAGGAGTTTCTGCTTACTACAGGTTGTTCTGAGGATACCCCCAAAAACCCCTATGAATCGAAACGACCTTTTTGACCCCCAAAACCACCTTTAAGGGGGTGCAGTAAGCAGAACAATCCCTGCCTACCAGCCGTCGGTGACTATAGTTTCTATCAGCTCAACAGCTGATAACAGCTGTTGGTGCTAGGTCAACATGACCTAGCTACCTGGATCATGAATGATTTGGGTAGGCTGTGTAATTACTGGGGTTGCTTCAGCTGACCTGACGACAATCCATGTCGAATGGTACAGGCATAATACCCTGCAGATTGTGGCCTTTGCAGCTCCAAAAAGAGCTGCGACATCCACATTCCTGTCATTTCCTGTCCATAGTGAACGGGCGGAAAAACATTCGCATACACATTGCAGCATGCTTTGTTGTGGGCGTTGTTGTTTGTGCTGGTTGCACATGAACAGTCTCGGATTGAATCAATCCACCCATTCTTCACCAAGCCTAAATTAAATGGCTGTCAAACTATCAGCAATGTTTTTTTTGCCCATCAACACGGTAGTTTAGCCAATTGGTATTTGATTGAACATGCAGTTCAGACAAGTTTGAGGCGGTTGTTTTGTCTTTTCCGTGACAGCATGACAATCGCAGGTGATGATGTGCATCAAACCCAAAGTTGTTTTTTCTTATGGTTTTGTGGCAGAATTGAGTTGCAGTGACTGAACAAAGTGATTGTCTTCTCATCACTGGATTTTTGAGTTCAATTGTCTTATTGGGTAGCGTTGGGTGTGGCAAGTTACTGTAAGATATGTTCTTGGAACTTCTTGCATATCCTCTTGGGATACCCTCTTGATGCTACAAGACCTTCGACCCAAGAGCATGCTCCCCGAAAAAAATTGACTTCAACAAGCCATTTGTGCTCTCAAATCTCTCCCGACCTCCCTTAGCAGCTGCTGTGAAGCACCCTTCTCCCATCTAACGATCAGCATGTCTGGCTTCAAGCAGGTGGAGAACCTGGAGGATGGCAGCGAGCTCGAGGCTGATGTTTCTTTTCAAATGAAACGGTCCACGTGGAAGACGGCTGTAGCACTGGCAACTGCAATGGTCGTTTGTGTTGGCATTTTCGCCTTGTCAACGAATGGCTTCAGCCGCAGCTGCAGCAATGTTGGAGCTTTGCAAGGCAAGTCTTCTTTGGATCTTAATTCCGCCATCCGCAGCACTAGTGAAAAACTGATTCAGGCAACCAAGAACAACCAAACTCTGGCTGATGAGACTGTGCTGAAGGCCATGGTGAAGGCAGGTCGCAAGGTTCAGGACCATTGGGAGAAGCACCACATCCGCAAATTGGACACTCTTATGACCATCAGAAGGGTGAAAGGATTCCGCCAAAGACAAAAGGCCAAACTTGCTGGAATGGCAGAATGCTCCTTCAACATCTTGGAGGCATTTGTCTCAGTGGTGGGTATGGGTGATGACATCAATGCCATCATTCGCACTTGCCCTGCACCTCGTGATGGTGAGTCTGAGTTGGCTTGCCAGGTAAACGGTGCCATCCTGGGTGCTTGGGTGGGCAACCTTGCTGCCAAGCTGGCCTTGGCAGCTTCAGATTGTGCCTTGAGCCTCAACGTGGATGCCATTTGCTCTGCTGGTGTCGCAGGCTTGGTGTCAGCCATGGGAGAGATTGCAGCTGGAGCTTCTTTGGGTGTGGCCTGTTCCGGAACTCCGCCACAACTGAGCACCACCAAGGTCAGTGTCCTGGGAGATCAGACCGTCCGGGACAGCCGACGTTTGCTGATTGGAGAAGGCGCTGTCGGCAATGGTGTGCAGTGTGGTGTGGATGTGGGCATGGTGGCAGCCAACATTGCAAACATGGGTCTTGCCATCAACAAGGCCGTGAATGTGAACAAGTGCAAAGCGAGCACCTTCCGCTCACCATTGAACGTGTTCAAGGGCATCCCAGAGACACTTTGCACCATTGACATTGGTGGTGCTGTGGCGTACATCGGTGAGGTTGTTACCTTCATCAATCTCATTGTGGTTCACTGTAAGGACTGAATGGGACTGAGCACGGCCTTTTTCCGCTGCCGAAGTTTCTTCTCGTTTATCGTTGCCTCTCTGAAGTTTTTGTTTAATCCTGGAGCATCCTGGAACACTCTTCATCAGGCACTGTTGAGCTTGTTCTGTCTAGAGATGCTGACATGGAAACCCTATATGCCAAGCACAAACACTGAGTTATTGTAATTATAGAATGGGCTAGCGCCCGGGTGCCGCCGACCCCCTCTTCTTTGGCATTTGAAGCCTTAACAACAGAGGGCAGTGGCCTGAGTGCCTGGTCGAAGCTGCCGCGGAGCCTTTTAGGCATTTGAGGCCTGGCAAACCGCTTGAACGCCCTTAACAACAGAGGGCAGTGGCCTGAGTGCCTGCTCGAAGCTGCCGCGCAGCGTTTTAGGCATTTGAGGCCTGGCAAACGGCAGGCTTGAACGCCCTTAACAACAGAGGGCAGTGGCCTGAGTGCCTGCTCGAAGCTGCCGCGCGCGTTTTAGGCATTTGAGGCCTGGCAAACGGCAGGCTTGAACGCCCTTAACAACAGAGGGCAGTGGCCTGAGTGCCTGGTCGAAGCTGCCGCGGAGCGTTTAGGCATTTGGGGCCTGGCAAACGGCAGGCTTGAACGCCCTTAACAACAGAGGGCAGTGGTCTGAGTGCCTGGTCGAAGCTGCCGCGGAGCGTTTTAGGCATTTGAGGCCTGGCAAACGGCAGGCTTGAACGCCCTTAACAACAGAGGGCAGTGGCCTGAGTGCCTGCTCGAAGCTGCCGCGCAGCGTTTTAGGCATTTGAGGCCTCGCAAACCTCAGGCTTGAACGCCCTTAAAAACAGAGGGCGGTGGCCTGAGTGCCTGCTCGAAGCTGCCGCGCAGTGTTTTAGGCATTTGAGGCCTGGCAAGCGGCAGGCTTGAACGCCCTTAACAACAGAGGGCAGTGGCCTGAGTGCCTGCTCGAAGCTGCCGCGGAGCGTTTTAGGCATTTGAGGCCTGGCAAACGGTAGGCTTGAACGCCCTTAACAACAGAGGGCAGTGGCCTGAGTGCCTGCTCGAAGCTGCCGCGCAGCGTTTTAGGCATTTGAGGCCTGGCAAACGGCAGGCTAGAGGGCAGTGGCTTGAGTGCCTGCTCGAAGCTGCCGCGCAGCGTTTTAGGCATTTGAGGCCTGGCAAACGGCAGGCTTGAACGCCCTTAACAACAGGCCTGAGTGCCTGCTCGAAGCTGCCGCGCAGCGTTTTAGGCATTTGAGGCCTGGCAAACGGCAGGCTTGAGCAGGCAGGCAGGCAGACAGGCGGCATTGATCGACACTGACCGACATTGACAGAGACAGAGACAGACGGACAGACAGACAGACAGGCAGGCAGGCAGGCAGACAGAAAGACAGGCAGGCAGACAGACAGGCAGGCAGAGAGACGGACAGAGACAGGCAGGCAGACAGAGACAGAGACAGCCCCTAACAACAGAGGGCAGTGGCCTGAGTGCCTGGTCGAAGCTGCCGCGCAGGGTTTTAGGCATTTGAGGCCTGGCAAACGGCAGGCTTGAACGCCCTTAACAACAGAGGGCGGTGGCCTGAGTGCCTGCTCGAAGCTGCCGCGCAGCTTTTTTAGGCATTTGAGGCCTGGCAAACGGCAGGCTTGAACGCCCTTAACAACAGAGGGCAGTGGCCTGAGTGCCTGCTCGAAGCTGCCGCGGAGCGTTTTAGGCATTTGAGGCCTGGCAAACGGCAGGCTTGAACGCCCTTAACAACAGAGGGCAGTGGCCTGAGTGCCTGCTCGAAGCTGCCGCGCAGCGTTTTAGGCATTTGAGGCCTGGCAAACGGCCTGGCAAACGGCACGCTTGAACGCCCTTAACAACAGAGGACAGTGGCCTGAGTGTCTGGTCGAAGCTGTCGCGGAGGGTTTTAGGCATTTTAAGGCTTTGACAAACGGCAGGCTGAAACGCCCTTAACAACAGAGGGCTGTGGCCTGAGTGCCTGGTCCAAGCTGCCGCGGAGGGCTTTAGGCATTTTAAGGGTTTGAGGCCTGGCGAGCGTTGTAGCGTTTGACGCGGCGTGCAATGTGGCTGCGACATGCTGTGACTGTGCCCTTGGTGCCTTGTCGGAGCTGGCGAAGGCAAGGTAGTGGCAAGCCAACAAAAACAGGCTCCACACCTGCGGTGGTCCCAGGCGCCGCCCCTGCCTTGGCGAAGGCCGGGGTCGGCGGATTAAATGATAAATGATAACAGACACTGTTGGTGATGTTGGCTCTGTTCTGTCTTTCTTTGCCTTCAACTGCCTCAAGATCTTGAGACGGGCTGCAGCAACGTATTTTCGGCCAGGACTTTCTGGATGTCAACGCACTTTGTGCTGGCTCCATAGCTGCGATCACCACGGGCGCAGCGGCCATTGTGCCCTATGGCGCAGCAGTGCACGCGGCCTGCGCGAACAACCATTTCTTGAAAACACCCAAGAGTCAAGCACAGCTTTCGAAATTGTGGTATTCCCCAGGCTATGATCCTGTGTCAGGCTTGAAACACCGTCGACGCTTGACGGAGGAGGAAGAGACGGCTGCTAAGCAACCCTTGAAGGAAAGCTTGTCTCAGATCGCGGCGAACCGTGAGACTTTGGAGGAGCTGAAGAAGGCGACGGATGTTCCCAAGCCGGGCAACACAGAGGCAGACATGGAGACTCTCTTGAACCTCATGGGCGGAGAGGACAAGGCGCGTGCCGCCTGGCCATTTGAATGCTAGGTCATGTTGAGAGCCGTGAGGACGGCTTTTCCACGTGTGGCCTATTCTAATCAGGTGGTCAGATAGTGTCAGATGAAATCCAACTGACGCATCGCGAATCACAATTAATTTGAGCATACTTGGATGTATAGGATATATTTACTTACTTGATTCATTTTGACTTAGTTTCTATCAGCTCAACAGCTGATAACAGCTGTTGGTGCTAGGTCAACATGACCTAGCTACCTGGATCATGAATGATTTGGGTAGGCCATGTAATTACTGGGGTTGCTTCAGCTGACCTGACGACAATCCATGTCGAATAGTACAGGCAATACCCTGCAGATTGTGGCCTTTGCAGCTCCAAAAAGAGCTGTGACATCCACATTCCTGTCCATAGTGAACGGGGGAAAAACATTCGCATACACATTGCAGCATGCTTTGTTGTGGGCGTTGTTGTTTGTGCTGTTGGCACATGAACAGTCTCGGATTGAATCAATCCACCCATTCTTCACCAAGCCTAAATTAAATGGCTGTCAAACTATGAGCAATCGAGGTTTTGCTCATCAACACGGTAGTTTAGCCAACAACAATTGGTATTTGATTGAACATGCAGTTCAGACAAGTTTGAGGCGGTTGTTTTGTCTTTTCCGTGACAACATGACAATCGCAGGTGATGATGTGCATCAAACCCAAAGTTGTTTTTTCTTATGGATTTGTGGCAGAATTGAGTTGCAGTGACTGAACAAAGTGATTGTCTTCTCATCACTGGATTTTTGAGTTCAATTGTCTTATTGGGTAGCGTTGGGTGTGGCAAGTTACTGTAAGATATGTTCTTGGAACTTCTTGCATATCCTCTTGGGATACCCTCTTGATGCTACAAGACCTTCGACCCAAGAGCATGCTCCCCGAAAAAAATTGACTTCAACAAGCCATTTGTGCTCTCAAATCTCTCCCGACCTCCCTTACCAGCTGCTGTGAAGCAGCCTTCTCCCATCTAGCGATCAGCATGTTTGGCTTCAAGCAGGTGGAGAACCTGGAGGATGGCAGCGAGCTTGAGGCTGATGTTTCTATTCAAATGAAACGGTCCACGTTGAAGAAGACGGCTGTAGCACTGGCAACTGCGATGGTCGTTTGTGTTGGCATTTTCGCCTTGTCAACGAATGGCTTCAGCCGCAGCTGCAGCAATGTTGGAGCTTTGCAAGGCAAGTCTTCTTTGGACCTTAGTTCCGCCATCCGCAGCACTAGTGAAAAACTGATCCAGGCAACCAAGAACAACCAAACTCTGGCTGATGAGACTGTGCTGAAGGCCATGGTGAAGGCAGGTCGCAAGGTTCAGGACCATTGGGAGAAGCACCACATCCGTAAATTGGACACTCTTATGACCATCAGAAGGGTGAAAGGATTCCGCCAAAGACAAAAGGCCAAACTTGCTGGAATGGCAGAATGCTCCTTCAACATCTTGGAGGCATTTGTCTCAGTGGTGGGTATGGGTGATGACATCAATGCCATCATTCGCACTTGCCCTGCACCTCGTGATGGTGAGTCTGAGTTGGCTTGCCAGGTAAACGGTGCCATCCTGGGTGCTTGGGTGGGAAACCTTGCTGCCAAGCTGGCCTTGGCAGCTTCAGATTGTGCCTTGAGCCTCAACGTGGATGCCATTTGCTCTGCTGGTGTCGCAGGCTTGGTGTCAGCCATGGGAGAGATTGCAGCTGGAGCTTCTTTGGGTGTGGCCTGTTCCGGAACTCCGCCACAACTGACCACCACCAAGGTCAGTGTCCTGGGAGATCAGACCGTCCGGGACAGCCGACGTTTGCTGATTGGAGAAGGCGCTGTCGGCAATGGTGTGCAGTGTGGTGTGGATGTGGGCATGGTGGCAGCCAACATTGCAAACATGGGTCTTGCCATCAACAAGGCCGTGAATGTGAACAAGTGCAAAGCGAGCACCTTTCGCTCACCATTGAACGTGTTCAAGGGCATCCCAGAGACACTTTGCACCATTGACATTGGTGGTGCTGTGGCGTACATCGGTGAGGTTGTTACATTCATCAATCTCATTGTGGTTCACTGTAAGGACTGAATGGGACTGAGCACGGCCTTTTTCCGCTGCCAAAGTTTCTTCTCGTTTATCGTTGCCTCTCTGAAGTTTTTGTTTAATCCTGGAACCTCCTGGAACACTCTTCATCAGGCACTGTTGAGCTTGTTCTGTCTAGAGATGCTGACATGGAAACCCTATATGCCAAGCACAAACACTGAGTTATTGTAATTATTGAATGATAAATGATAACAGACACTGTTGGTGATGTTGGCTCTGTTCTGTCTTCTTTGCCTTCAACTGCCTCAAGATCTTGAGACGGGCTGCAGCATCATATTTTCGGCCAGGACTTTCTGGATGTCAACGCGCTTTGTGCTGGCTCCATAGCTGCGATCACCACGGGTGCAGCGGCCATTGCGCCCTACGGCGCAGCAGTGCACGCGGCCTGCGCGAACAACCATTTCTTGAAGACACCCAAGAGTCAAGCACAGCTTTCGAAATTGTGGTATTCCCCAGGCTATGATCCTGTGTCAGGCTTGCGTCGACGCTTGACGGAGGAGGAGACGGCTGCTAAGCAACCCTTGAAGGAAAGCTTGTCTCAGATCGCGGCGAACCGTGAGACTTTGGAGGAGCTGAAGAAGGCGACGGATGTTCCCAAGCCGGGCAGCACAGAGGCAGACATGGAGACTCTCTTGAACCTCATGGGCGGAGAGGACAAGGCGCGTGCCGCCTGGCCATTTGAATGCTAGGTCACGTTCAGAGCCGTGAGGACGGCTTTTCTATGTGTGGCCTATTCAAATCGTGTGGTCAGATAGTGTCAGAAGATGAAATCCAACTGACGCATCGCGAATCACAATTAATTTGAGTATACTTGGATGTATAGGATATATTTACTTGATTTATTTTGACTTAGTTTCTATCAGCTCAACAGCTGATAACAACTGTTGGTGCTAGGTCAACATGACCTAACTACCTGAATCATGAAGGATTCGGGTAGGCTGTGTAATTACTGGGGTTGCTTCAGCTGACTTGACGACAATCCATGTCGAATGGTACAGGCAATACCCTGCAGATTGTGGCCTTTGCAGCTCCAAAAAGAGCTGCGACATCCACATTCCTGTCCATAGTGAACGGGCGGAAAAACATTCGCATACACATTACGGCATGTTTTGTTATGGGCGTTGTTGTTTGTGCTGTTGGCACATGAACAGTCTCGGATTGAATCAATCCACCCATTCTTCACCAAGCCTAAATTAAATGGCTGTCAAACTATCAGCAATGTTTTTTTTGCCCATCAACACGGTAGTTTAGCCAACAAAACAATTGGGATTTGATTGAGCATGCAGTTCAGACAAGTTTGAGGTTGTTGTTTTGTCTTTTCCGTGACAGCATGACAATCGCAGGTGATGATGTGCATCAAACCCAAAGTTGTTTTTTCTTATGGTTTTGTGGCAGAATTGAGTTGCAAGGACTGAACAAAGTGATTGTCTTCTCATCACTGGATTTTTGAGTTCAATTGTCTTATTGGGTAGCGTTGGGTGTGGAAAGTTACTGTAAGATATGTTCTTGGAACTTCTTGCATATCCTCTTGGGATACCCTCTTGATGCTACCCGACCTTCGACCCAAGAGCATGCTCCTCGAAAATCTCGAAACAATTTGACTTCAACAAGCCATTTGTGCTCTCAAATCTCCCCTACTGGGGGTTCTCTTATTCTTTTCCTATCCCCTCTTTTTATCTACCACATCAGTGCTCCAGTCCCTTCCGCCACCCTTCTACGCCCACACCCTCCCTCTGTTTCTTTTCCCCTTACTTTCTCTTTCACTTTGTTTTTTCCGACCATGAAACTTACTTGGAAACTACCATACCCTCGGAGCGGGGGGGCCGGAGAAGATTCCTCACTACGACGAACCTTCATCAGTAACCCCCCTTTTACTGTTTATTTCCCCTATTACCATGATGCCCCCTCACACCTCCCCCACCACATTTCCTATTTTTTTTTCTCTCCCAGACCTCCTTACCAGCTTGCTGTGAAGCGCCCTTCTCCCATCTAACGATCAGCATGTCTGGTTTCAAACAGGTGGAGAACCTGGAGGATGGCAGCGAGCTTGAGGCTGATGTTTCTTTTCAAATGAAACGGTCCACGTGGAAGAAGACGGCTGTAGCACTGGCAACTGCGATGGTCGTTTGTGTTGGCATTTTCGCCTTGTCAACGAATGGCTTCAGCCGCAGCTGCAGCAATGTTGGAGCTTTGCAAGGCAAGTCTTCTTTGGATCTTAATTCCGCCATCCGCAGCACTAGTGAAAAACTGATTCAGGCAACCAAGAACAACCAAACTCTGGCTGATGAGACTGTGCTGAAGGCCATGGTGAAGGCAGGTCGCAAGGTTCAGGACCATTGGGAGAAGCACCACATCCGCAAATTGGACACTCTTATGACCATCAGAAGGGTGAAAGGATTCCGCCAAAGACAAAAGGCCAAACTTGCTGGAATGGCAGAATGCTCCTTCAACATCTTGGAGGCATTTGTCTCAGTGGTGGGTATGGGTGATGACATCAATGCCATCATTCGCACTTGCCCTGCACCTCGTGATGGTGAGTCTGAGTTGGCTTGCCAGGTAAACGGTGCCATCCTGGGTGCTTGGGTGGGCAACCTTGCTGCCAAGCTGGCCTTGGCAGCTTCAGATTGTGCCTTGAGCCTCAACGTGGATGCCATTTGCTCTGCTGGTGTCGCAGGCTTGGTGTCAGCCATGGGAGAGATTGCAGCTGGAGCTTCTTTGGGTGTGGCCTGTTCCGGAACTCCGCCACAACTGACCACCACCAAGGTCAGTGTCCTGGGAGATCAGACCGTCCGGGACAGCCGACGTTTGCTGATTGGAGAAGGCGCTGTCGGCAATGGTGTGCAGTGTGGTGTGGATGTGGGCATGGTGGCAGCCAACATTGCAAACATGGGTCTTGCCATCAACAAGGCCGTGAATGTGCACAAGTGCAAAGCGAGCACCTTCCGCTCACCATTGAACGTGTTCAAGGGCATCCCAGAGACACTTTGCACCATTGACATTGGTGGTGCTGTGGCGTACATCGGTGAGGTTGTTACCTTCATCAATCTCATTGTGGTTCACTGTAAGGACTGAATGGGACTGAGCACGGCCTTTTTCCCCTGCATTCCCCTGCCAAAGTTTCTTTTCGTTTATCGTTGCCTCTCTGAAGTTTTTGTTTAATCCTGGAGCATCCTGGAACACTCTTCATCAGGCACTGTTGAGCTTGTTCTGTCTAGAGATGCTGACATGGAAACCCTATATGCCAAGCACAAACACTGAGTTATTGTAACTATTGAATGATAAATGATAACAGACACTGTTGGTGATGTTGGCTCTGTTCTGTCTTCTTTGCCTTCAACTGTCTCAAGATCTTGAGACGGGGTGCAGCATCGTATTTTCGGCCAGGACTTTCTGGATGTCAACGCACTTTGTGCTGGCTCCATAGCTGCGATCACCACGGGTGCAGCGGCCATTGTGCCCTACGGCGCAGCAGTGCACGCGGCCTGCGCGAACAACCATTTCTTGAAGACACCCAAGAGTCAAGCACAGCTTTCGAAATTGTGGTATTCCCCAGGCTATGATCCTGTGTCAGGCTTGCGTCGACGCTTGACGGAGGAGGAGACGGCTGCTAAGCAACCCTTGAAGGAAAGCTTGTCTCAGATCGCGGCGAACCGTGAGACTTTGGAGGAGCTGAAGAAGGCGACGGATGTTCCCAAGCCGGGCAACACAGAGGCAGACATGGAGACTCTCTTGAACCTCATGGGCGGAGAGGACAAGGCGCGTGCCGCCTGGCCATTTGAATGCTAGGTCATGTTGAGAGCCGTGAGGACGGCTTTTCCACGTGTGGCCTATTCTAATCAGGTGGTCAGATAGTGTCAGATGAAATCCAACTGACGCATCGCGAATCACAATTAATTTGAGCATACTTGGATGTATAGGATATATTTACTTGATTCATTTTGACTTAGTTTCTATCAGCTCAACAGCTGATAACAGCTGTTGGTGCTAGGTCAACATGACCTAGCTACCTGGATCATGAATGATTTGGGTAGGCTGTGTAATTACTGGGGTTGCTTCAGCTGACCTGACGACAATCCATGTCGAATAGTACAGGCAATACCCTGCAGATTGTGGCCTTTGCAGCTCCAAAAAGAGCTGTGACATCCACATTCCTGTCCATAGTGAACGGGGGAAAAACATTCGCATACACATTGCAGCATGCTTTGTTGTGGGCGTTGTTGTTTGTGCTGTTGGCACATGAACAGTCTCGGATTGAATCAATCCACCCATTCTTCACCAAGCCTAAATTAAATGGCTGTCAAACTATCAGCAATGTTTTTTTTGCCCATCAACACGGTAGTTTAGCCAATTGGTATTTGATTGAACATGCAGTTCAGACAAGTTTGAGGCGGTTGTTTTGTTTTTTCCGTGACAGCATGACAATCGCAGGTGATGATGTGCATCAAACCCAAAGTTGTTTTTTCTTATGGATTTGTGGCAGAATTGAGTTGCAGTGACTGAACAAAGTGATTGTCTTCTCATCACTGGATTTTTGAGTTCAATTGTCTTATTGGGTAGCGTTGGGTGTGGCAAGTTACTGTAAGATATGTTCTTGGAACTTCTTGCATATCCTCTTGGGATACCCTCTTGATGCTACAAGACCTTCGACCCAAGAGCATGCTCCCCGAAAAAAATTGACTTCAACAAGCCATTTGTGCTCTCAAATCTCTCCCGACCTCCCTTAGCAGCTGCTGTGAAGCACCCTTCTCCCATCTAACGATCAGCATGTCTGGCTTCAAGCAGGTGGAGAACCTGGAGGATGGCAGCGAGCTTGAGGCTGATGTTTCTATTCAAATGAAACGGTCCACGTTGAAGAAGACGGCTGTAGCACTGGCAACTGCGATGGTCGTTTGTGTTGGCATTTTCGCCTGGTCAACGAATGGCTTCAGCCGCAGCTGCAGCAATGTTGGAGCTTTGCAAGGCAAGTCTTCTTTGGACCTTAGTTCCGCCATCCGCACCACTAGTGAAAAACTGATCCAGGCAACCAAGAACAACCAAACTCTGGCTGATGAGACTGTGCTGAAGGCCATGGTGAAGGCAGGTCGCAAGGTTCAGGACCATTGGGAGAAGCACCACATCCGTAAATTGGACACTCTTATGACCATCAGAAGGGTGAAAGGATTCCGCCAAAGACAAAAGGCCAAACTTGCTGGAATGGCAGAATGCTCCTTCAACATCTTGGAGGCATTTGTCTCAGTGGTGGGTATGGGTGATGACATCAATGCCATCATTCGCACTTGCCCTGCACCTCGTGATGGTGAGTCTGAGTTGGCTTGCCAGGTAAACGGTGCCATCCTGGGTGCTTGGGTGGGCAACCTTGCTGCCAAGCTGGCCTTGGCAGCTTCAGATTGTGCCTTGAGCCTCAACGTGGATGCCTTTTGCTCTGCTGGTGTCGCAGGCTTGGTGTCAGCCATGGGAGAGATTGCAGCTGGAGCTTCTTTGGGTGTGGCGTGTTCCGGAACTCCGCCACAACTGACCACCACCAAGGTCAGTGTCCTGGGAGATCAGACCGTCCGGGACAGCCGACGTTTGCTGATTGGAGAAGGCGCTGTCGGCAATGGTGTGCAGTGTGGTGTGGATGTGGGCATGGTGGCAGCCAACATTGCAAACATGGGTCTTGCCATCAACAAGGCCGTGAATGCGGACAAGTGCAAGGCAAGCACTTTCCGCGTCCCGCTCAAGGGCATCCCAGAAACACTTTGCACCGTTGACATTGGTGGTGCTGTGGCGTACATCGGTGAGGTTGTTACCTTCATCAATCTCATTGTGGTTCACTGTAAGGACTGAATGGGACTGAGCACGGCCTTTTTCCCCTGCATTCCCCTGCCAAAGTTTCTTTTCGTTTATCGTTGCCTCTCTGAAGTTTTTGTTTAATCCTGGAGCATCCTGGAACACTCTTCATCAGGCACTGTTGAGCTTGTTCTGTCTAGAGATGCTGGCATGGAAACACTAACTGCCAAGCAAAAACACTGAGTTATTGTAATATTATATTGTAATTATTAAATGATAAATGATAATAGACACTGTTGGTGATGTTGGCTCTGTTCTGTCTTTCTTTGCCTTCAACTGCCTCAAGATCTTGAGACGGGCTGCAGCAACGTATTTTCGGCCAGGACTTTCTGGATGTCAACGCACTTTGTGCTGGCTCCATAGCTGCGATCACCACGGGTGCAGCGGCCATTGTGCCCTATGGCGCAGCAGTGCACGCGGCCTGCGCGAACAACCATTTCTTGAAGACACCCAAGAGTCAAGCACAGCTTTCGAAATTGTGGTATTCCCCAGGCTATGATCCTGTGTCAGGCTTGCGTCGACGCTTGACGGAGGAGGAGACGGCTGCTAAGCAACCCTTGAAGGAAAGCTTGTCTCAGATCGCGGCGAACCGTGAGACTTTGGAGGAGCTGAAGAAGGCGACGGATGTTCCCAAGCCGGGCAGCACAGAGGCAGACATGGAGACTCTCTTGAACCTCATGGGCGGAGAGGACAAGGCGCGTGTCGCCTGGCAATGCTAGGTCACGTTCAGAGCCGTGAGGACGGCTTTTCCACGTGTGGCCTATTCAAATCGTGTGGTCAGATAGTGTCAGAAGATGAAATCCAACTGACGCATCGCGAATCACAATTAATTTGAGTATACTTGGATGTATAGGATATATTTACTTGAATCATTTGGACTTACTTTCTATCAGCTAAACAGCTGATAGCAGCTGTTGGTGCTAGGTCAACATGACCTAGCTACCTGGATCATTAATGATTTGGGTAGGCTGTGTAATTACTTGGGTTGCTTCAGCTGACTTGACGACAATCCATGTCGAATGGTACAGGCAATACCCTGCAGATTGTGGCCTTTGCAGCTCCAAAAAGAGCTGTGACATCCACATGCCTGTCCATAGTGAACGGGCGGAAAAAACATTCGCATACACATTGCAGCATGCTTTGTTGTGGGCGTTGTTGTTTGTGCTGTTGGCACATGAACAGTCTCGGATTGAATCAATCCACCCATTCTTCACCAAGCCTAAATTAAATGGCTGTCAAACTATGAGCAATCGAGGTTTTGCTCATCAACACGGTAGTTTAGCCAACAACAATTGGTATTTGATTGAACATGCAGTTCAGACAAGTTTGAGGCGGTTGTTTTGTCTTTTCCGTGACAGCATGACAATCGCAGGTGATGATGTGCATCAAACCCAAAGTTGTTTTTTCTTATGGATTTGTGGCAGAATTGAGTTGCAGTGACTGAACAAAGTGATTGTCTTCTCATCACTGGATTTTTGAGTTCAATTGTCTTATTGGCGTAGCGTTGGGTGTGGAAAGTTACTGTAAGATATGTTCTTGGAACTTCTTGCATATCCTCTTGGGATACCCTCTTGATGCTACAAGACCTTCGACCCAAGAGCATGCTCCCCGAAACAATTTGACTTCAACAAGCCATTTGTGCTCTCAAATCTCTCCCGACCTCCCTTACCAGCTGCTGTGAAGCAGCCTTATCCCATCTAACGATCAGCATGTTTGGCTTCAAGCAGGTGGAGAACCTGGAGGATGGCAGCGAGCTTGAGGCTGATGTTTCTATTCAAATGAAACGGTCCACGTTGAAGAAGACGGCTGTAGCACTGGCAACTGCGATGGTCGTTTGTGTTGGCATTTTCGCCTGGTCAACGAATGGCTTCAGCCGCAGCTGCAGCAATGTTGGAGCTTTGCAAGGCAAGTCTTCTTTGGACCTTAGTTCCGCCATCCGCAGCACTAGTGAAAAACTGATCCAGGCAACCAAGAACAACCAAACTCTGGCTGATGAGACTGTGCTGAAGGCCATGGTGAAGGCAGGTCGCAAGGTTCAGGACCATTGGGAGAAGCACCACATCCGTAAATTGGACACTCTTATGACCATCAGAAGGGTGAAAGGATTCCGCCAAAGACAAAAGGCCAAACTTGCTGGAATGGCAGAATGCTCCTTCAACATCTTGGAGGCATTTGTCTCAGTGGTGGGTATGGGTGATGACATCAATGCCATCATTCGCACTTGCCCTGCACCTCGTGATGGTGAGTCTGAGTTGGCTTGCCAGGTAAACGGTGCCATCCTGGGTGCTTGGGTGGGCAACCTTGCTGCCAAGCTGGCCTTGGCAGCTTCAGATTGTGCCTTGAGCCTCAACGTGGATGCCATTTGCTCTGCTGGTGTCGCAGGCTTGGTGTCAGCCATGGGAGAGATTGCAGCTGGAGCTTCTTTGGGTGTGGCCTGTTCCGGAACTCCGCCACAACTGACCACCACCAAGGTCAGTGTCCTGGGAGATCAGACCGTCCGGGACAGCCGACGTTTGCTGATTGGAGAAGGCGCTGTCGGCAATGGTGTGCAGTGTGGTGTGGATGTGGGCATGGTGGCAGCCAACATTGCAAACATGGGTCTTGCCATCAACAAGGCCGTGAATGTGCACAAGTGCAAAGCGAGCACCTTCCGCTCACCATTGAACGTGTTCAAGGGCATCCCAGAGACACTTTGCACCATTGACATTGGTGGTGCTGTGGCGTACATCGGTGAGGTTGTTACCTTCATCAATCTCATTGTGGTTCACTGTAAGGACTGAATGGGACTGAGCACTGCCTTTTTCCGCTGCCAAAGTTTCTTCTCGTTTATCGTTGCCTCTCTGAAGTTTTGTTTAATCCTGGAGCATCCTGGAACACACTTCATCAGGCACTGTTGAGCTTGTTCTGTCTAGAGATGCTGACATGGAAACCCTATATGCCAAGCACAAACACTGAGTTATTGTAATTATTGAATGATAAATGATAACAGACACTGTTGGTGATGTTGGCTCTGTTCTGTCTTCTTTGCCTTCAACTGCCTCAAGATCTTGAGACGGGCTGCAGCATCATATTTTCGGCCAGGACTTTCTGGATGTCAACGCGCTTTGTGCTGGCTCCATAGCTGCGATCACCACGGGTGCAGCGGCCATTGCGCCCTACGGCGCAGCAGTGCACGCGGCCTGCGCGAACAACCATTTCTTGAAGACACCCAAGAGTCAAGCACAGCTTTCGAAATTGTGGTATTCCCCAGGCTATGATCCTGTGTCAGGCTTGCGTCGACGCTTGACGGAGGAGGAGACGGCTGCTAAGCAACCCTTGAAGGAAAGCTTGTCTCAGATCGCGGCGAACCGTGAGACTTTGGAGGAGCTGAAGAAGGCGACGGATGTTCCCAAGCCGGGCAGCACAGAGGCAGACATGGAGACTCTCTTGAACCTCATGGGCGGAGAGGACAAGGCGCGTGCCGCCTGGCCATTTGAATGCTAGGTCACGTTCAGAGCCGTGAGGACGGCTTTTCTATGTGTGGCCTATTCAAATCGTGTGGTCAGATAGTGTCAGAAGATGAAATCCAACTGACGCATCGCGAATCACAATTAATTTGAGTATACTTGGATGTATAGGATATATTTACTTGATTTATTTTGACTTAGTTTCTATCAGCTCAACAGCTGATAACAGCTGTTGGTGCTAGGTCAACATGACCTAGCTACCTGAATCATGAATGATTCGGGTAGGCTGTGTAATTACTGGGGTTGCTTCAGCTGACTTGACGACAATCCATGTCGAATGGTACAGGCAATACCCTGCAGATTGTGGGCTTTGCAGCTCCAAAAAGAGCTGCGACATCCACATTCCTGTCCATAGTGAACGGGCGGAAAAACATTCGCATACACATTACGGCATGTTTTGTTATGGGCGTTGTTGTTTGTGCTGTTGGCACATGAACAGTCTCGGATTGAATCAATCCACCCATTCTTCACCAAGCCTAAATTAAATGGCTGTCAAACTATCAGCAATGTTTTTTTTGCCCATCAACACGGTAGTTTAGCCAATTGGTATTTGATTGAACATGCAGTTCAGACAAGTTTGAGGCGGTTGTTTTGTTTTTTCCGTGACAGCATGACAATCGCAGGTGATGATGTGCATCAAACCCAAAGTTGTTTTTTCTTATGGATTTGTGGCAGAATTGAGTTGCAGTGACTGAACAAAGTGATTGTCTTCTCATCACTGGATTTTTGAGTTCAATTGTCTTATTGGGTAGCGTTGGGTGTGGCAAGTTACTGTAAGATATGTTCTTGGAACTTCTTGCATATCCTCTTGGGATACCCTCTTGATGCTACAAGACCTTCGACCCAAGAGCATGCTCCCCGAAAAAAATTGACTTCAACAAGCCATTTGTGCTCTCAAATCTCTCCCGACCTCCCTTAGCAGCTGCTGTGAAGCACCCTTCTCCCATCCAACGATCAGCATGTCTGGCTTCAAGCAGGTGGAGAACCTGGAGGATGGCAGCGAGCTCGAGGCTGACGTTTCTTTTCAAATGAAACGGTCCACGTGGAAGACGGCTGTAGCACTGGCAACTGCAATGGTCGTTTGTGTTGGCATTTTCGCCTTGTCAACGAATGGCTTCAGCCGCAGCTGCAGCAATGTTGGAGCTTTGCAAGGCAAGTCTT